ACATTTTGATGTCAAGAATGTGTTTTTACATGGAGAACTAGAGGAGAAAATCTACATGGAAGTTCCACCGGGTTATGGTCACAACTTAGTTGCACACACAGTATGTAGATTAAAGAAGACTTTGTATGGACTTAAGCAATCGCGGCAAGCATGGTTTGGAAGATTTGCAAAGGTAATGACAACTATGGGATGTCGGCAAAGTCAAGTAGACCATACACTGTTTGTCAAACACTCATTCTCATGGGGAGTTACAATCCTCTTAGTGTATGTTGACGACATAATAGTGACGGGAGATGATGATGAGGAAAGGCAGCGTCTCAGTCGATGTTTAGCTAAAGAATTTGAGATTAAGATGCTAGGGAGGCTAAAGTATTTTCTGGGAATCGAGGTGGCTCATTCCAAGCAAGGTATTTTCACATCACAGCAAAAATATGTTACAGGTCTTCTCAAAGAAACTGGGAAGACCGCGTGCAAGCCGGCGAGCACTCCAATAGATCCAAATTTGAAGCTCAGAGAAGCAGAAGAAGATGTCGCAGTGGATAGAGAGATGTATCAACGCTTGGTGGGGAGACTTATCTATCTATCTCATACTAGGCCAGATATAGCATACGCGGTAAGTGCGATTAGTCAATTCATGCATAATCCGAAGGAGGCACATCTACATGCAGCATACCGAGTATTGCATTATCTCAAAGGGACACCAGGCAGCGGTATTTTGTTCAAAAGGAATGAAGGAGTAGTGCTTGAAGTGTATACAGATGCAGACTATGCTGGGTCAGTGGCAGATGGTCAACTTCTGGTTATTGCACTTTTATTGGTGGAAACCTTGTGACGTGGAGGAGTAAGAAACAAAATGTTGTAGCTCGTTCTAGTGCAGAGGCCGAATTCCGAGCGATGGCTCAGGGTGTGTGTGAATTGCTATGGTTGAAGATTATTTTAGAAGACTTGAAGATTAAGTGGGATGGCCCAATGAGACTCTACTGTGACAACAAATCTGCAATCAGCATAGCTCACAACCCTATACAACACGATCGAACAAAGCACATTGAAATCGACAGACACTTCATCAAAGAGAAGCTAGACAGTGGCCTGATTTGTACACCCTTTGTATCTGCACAGGGTCAACTTGCTGATGTACTCACGAAAGGACTTAGTAGTTTAGTGTTTCAGAATCTTGTGTCTAAGCTGGGAATGGTGAACACCTATTCACCAGCTTGAGGGGGAGTGTTGAAAACGCAATCTTATTGATTTTGTAAATATGATATATTAGGAAAATTTAAATTTTATATTTTATATCCCTAGGATTAGGGTAATCAGTTAGTTTCCTGATATCTCATGAATAATGAGATAAGGTGTAATCTAGGAGATTCTATTTTTTGTGTATAAAAACCTAAGAGGGCTGGTTGTATAGCATTATTCAGAAAATAAGAAATATTTTTTTGTTCTCCTATTTTCCCACATCTGCTTATGATCAAATAATTGTTTGGCATTACAGATTGGGCCATCCTAGTTTTATTTATCTAAAACGTTTGTTTCCATCATTATTTAAGAGTATTGACCCCTTAATATTTAAATGTGAAAGTTGTTTACTTGCAAAAAGCCAACGGAAAAGTTATATTCCAAAACCATATCAACCTTCAAAACCGTTTTATCTTTTCCACAGTGATGTTTTCAAAGGTAACCACGGTTTTGGGTAAAAAATGGTTTGTAACTTTTATAGACGACCATACTCGTCTATGTTGGGTCTATTTGATGCGTGAAAAATCTGAAGTTGAAAAAATATTTAAAGATTTTCACAATATGATAGAAAATCAATTTCAGGCAAAGATGGGCATTTTAAGATCAGATAATGGAACAGAGTACTACAGTAAAGTTTTAGAAACCATTTTACAAGGAAAAGGAATTTTACATCAATCTTCATGTCTAGATACTCCTGAACAAAATGGAATAGCCGAGCGAAAGAATAAACATCTTTTAGAAGTAGCTCAAACTATGATGTTTTTACATGAACTTGCCAACATATTTGTGGGGAGATGATGTTTTAACTAGATCATATTTGATTAACAGGATGCCTACTAGAGTTTTGAAGTATACCACTCCATTGGATTGCTTAAAAAAAAATTTTCCAGAATCTCGAATAAATTCGGATTTGCCATTAAAAATCTTTGGCTACACCGCACATGTGCACATTCCAAAGAGATCACGGTCTAAATTAGACCCAAGAGCAGAAAAATATGTTTTTTTGGGGTATGTTCCAAATAAAAAAGGTTACAAATTTTTTAATCCATTGACCAAGAAATTTCATATTACCATGAATGCAACTTTTTTGGAAAATTTACCTTTTTTCGGCAAAAATTTAATTCAGGGGGAAAAGTTAGAAGAATCAAATTTTTGGGAAACAGAACCTTTACGACAAATAGTTTTTGACCCTATTAAAGCAAAATCTACTGAAATAGATAAAAAAACTAGGATCACCCAATCTAGAAACACTGAATTTGACATTGGTCTCTCAAATATGGAAATACTACCAATGGAAAAAAATCGATCCAATCTTGAGCCTGTGGTTTATTCTAGGAAAAATATCCTTGAAAGAGGTAAAGATCCTTTGTTTCGCTTAGCACGCGACCATGAGGAATTCCCGAGTGAAGTCCATCCAAATGCATCAGGTAATTCGGATACTATTAATTCTCTACCTTCCTTATCTTGTATTCCAAATTCTAATGAAATAGTTTTCCCTGAATCTAGTCCGAACCCTGTACCTGTTATTCCTATCCAAGAAACATACCTTGATCTTCCCATTGCCTTAAGAAAAGGAACCCGAACTTGCACTAGACATCCTTTTGCCAAGTACATCTCCTACGACAACCTTTCTGCCAAGTATAGAGCTTTTACTACAAAGATTTCAAAACTTGTGGTACCTAGAAATAATAAGGAGGCATTAGATGAGCCGAATTGGAGATCGGCTGTGCTTGAAGAGATGGAGGCATTGAGGAAGAATGGTACGTGGGAGGTGGTTGAGTTACCTAGTGAGAAAAAGGTTGTGGGGAGCAAATGGGTGTCACAATCAAAAGTAAAGCTGATGGTAGTATAGAGAGGTATAAAGCCAGACTAGTAGCAAAAGGCTTTACTCAGACCTATGGAATAGATTACTAAGAAACTTTTTCCCCTGTTGCGAAGATAAATACAATTCGGGTCTTGTTGACTCTTGCTGTGAATTCTAACTAGCCTCTGTTTCAACTTGATGTAAAAAATGCTTTTCTCAATGGTAACCTAGAAGAAGAAGTGTTTATGAACCTACCACCGGGCTTTGAGGAAGAACTTGGGGTTGGAAAAGTCTGTAGACTAAAAAAATCCTTTTATGGACTCAAGCAGTCACCTAGGACATGGTTTGAAAGTTTTGGCAAGGTAGTGAGGAGGTACGGATTTATACAGAGTCAAGCGGATCACACCATGTTTTACAAGCATTCAAGCGAAGGTAAGGTTGCCATCTTAATTGTGTATGTTGATGATATTATCTTGATAGGAGATGATTGCGGTGAAATAGATAGACTGAAGAGGAGATTAGCCGAGGAATTTGAAATAAAAGACCTGGGAGTGTTAAAATACTTCCTTGGAATGGAGTTCGCGAGGTCTAAGTAAGGAATTATTGTAAATCAACGTAAGTATGTACTTGATTTACTTGAGGAAACAGGCATGTTGGGTTGTAAACCGGCAAAAACTCCAATGGAACCAAATGTAAAGCTGCAACCAGCGATGTAAAGGATAAGGAGTGATATCAAAAGACTTGTTGGCAGACTTATTTATCTATCACACACACGCCCTGACATAGCCTTCTTTGTAAATGCAGTCAGCCAATTTATGCACTCACTTGGCCCTGAGCATTTTGAGGCCGTTTACAAGATTCTAAGATATTAAAAGGGGACACCAGGCAAAGGGCCTCTCTTTAAATCCAGGGGACACCTTCAGATTGAGGCCTATACCGATGCAAATTGGGCTGGGAGTATAACAGATAGGAGATCAACCTCTGGGTACTGTACTTATGTTGGCGGTAACTTAGTAACTTGGCATAGTAAGAAGCAGAATGTAGTTGCAAGGAGTAGTGCAAAGGCTGAGTTCAGGGCGGTTGCCCTTGGTATTTGTGAAGTAATGTGGATCTGGAGAATACTGCAGGAGTTGAGAGCTTCAGAAGTTCTACCTATGAAGTTGTATTGTGACAATAAGGCTGCTATTTCTATTGCTCATAATCCAGTTCTCCATGATCACACGAAGCACATTGAAGTGGATAAGCACTTTATTAAAGAGAAAATAGAAGGTGGTTTGATATGCATGATCTATGTTCCGACTAAAGATCAGGTAGCTGATTTGCTCACGAAGGGACTACCTAAAAAACAATTCGATTTTTTAGTAAGCAAGCTGGCTATAAAAGATATATTTAAACCACCTTGAGGGGGAGTGTAGAAAAACCGAAACTGTTTTTGGGAAAGAATCCATGTAGCTGTAATTGTATCATTAGCTAGGTGTCAAATCTGTATATTTAGGAAAGTATTGTTAGCAGTTATTTGCTTCCTAGAATTAGTGATATTGTTTCCTTTTTTGGTTAGACTGTAATTGTATAAAAGTCTACTCAATGAATGAAATCATCATTCCCCAATATTCTTCTTTTTCGTGTGTAAAGAAATAACGACTCTCTAAGCGAAAGAAAACACATGTTCTCGATGAAATATCATAGTTATTAACCTCAGCAAACAATGTATGCAATACAATACAATTGCGAATCTGTTTTTAACGTTAAAAAAATAATTAAAAAAAATCTCTGAATAATAAACTTGAGGAATGCAAAAGTTTCATTTAAATCACATGACTTCTGAAGAGGATGACTTGAATAAAACAGGCATATGGGAGTTTTAGTAACTTTCTCCAGAATTAAGATAATGGACAATGTTAATAAAAGCTTTGTCAACCGAGAAATTGAAATTTAAAAAAAAAATCTAGTTATATACCATAAATCCAGTGATGTTTTGAAGGTAGACCAAGGGAATGTTTCGTTGAGTACATAGTTCAATGAAATGTGCCCCTTTTAGAGCAGACTCACTGAACAATATACCATTGTTTCCAATAATGCCAACCGGTTGTCCATAAATTCTAGCAAGCCCTGTTACAAGAGTCTGCACAAATACAATCCGAATTACAAAATTTATAAATAACACAAACGACCAAATCAAAAGCTGAAAAGCATGAAGGATATCAATGTCCTTACAGTCCCATATAATTTCTTGAATTCGTCAAATTCACTTCCATCCACAATGCGAGCAATAACAGATCGGATATCAAACTGCTGTTTATGGTCTGTTGGTGCAATAGAACGAAGTTCCCTTACATCATACAAGGGTTCTGCATATTCAAAGTGTGTGTTTTGTACTCCACCTTGCAACTGCCCCTGACCAGCCATGTGCAAGTTCTTAATAATATTTCTACCGAGGGCAAGGCCATGCAGTTCATCTACAACATTAGATTGACATGTGGTTATTTTATGGACAAGAGAAAAACATTCCTAGCCATGCACAAGTTCTAATCAATGCTAGTGTTATGGAGAAGGCAATGACTATAACTGAAACTCCAGATGTTTTACAATGAGTTATAATCAATGAATCTGATATACAGTTTTATGCAGAAGGTAACAAATATACCTTGAGCAAAATAGTCTGAAACTCCTGATGTTTTACAATGGACACTAGCGCCTCCAAGATCTTCCGCGGATACTTCTTCTCCAGTAGCCGCCTATTCAATTTCTTTCTGTTAGAAAATCCTTAGGTTTCATAAACATGAGATACACGTGAATCCATGACATGCATGACTCGACTCAAGATTTACAAGCATGCAGAGAATACCTAACATTCCATAGAACACCTGAGAACAACAATGATTAATAAACATAACTAAGAACCACATGAAGCATTTCAAAACACCAGAAGGCTCTAAACTAACCTTCACAAGAGGAGGTCCTGCCAGAAATATGGTCCCGTTCCCTTTGACCATCACACTTTCATCGGCCATCGCAGGTATATAAGCACCCCCGGCAGTACAGGATCCCAATACCAGCGCAACTTGAGGAATGCCTTCAGCAGACATTACAGCTTGATTGTAGAAAATTCTACCGAAATTATCCCTATCGGGGAAAACCTCCGCTTGCTTGGGAAGGTAAGCCCCGCCACTATCAACAAGATAAATGCATGGCAATTTGCATTCAGCAGCAATCTCTTGTGCTCTAAGATGTTTCTTAACAGTGATGGGATAATAAGTCCCTCCCTTTACAGTAGGGTCATTAGCCACAAACATACAAAGCTTCCCATGAACGGGACCCATCCCAGTAACTATTCCACCTGATGGTAGGGGCTCATCATAGAGTTCATGGCCTGCAAGCTTCATCCATTGAAATAGTCACCAATAGGCCAAGCTTTAACTTCTCATAACACTCTACAATATCGATCTGGACTGAGAGAAAATTAGACAGAAATTCGTAGGAAATTTAGTTAATATTCATCAAAATGTCTGAACTGAATATCCTATCCTACGTAGTGGCTTTATTTATAATAAGAAGAAAACTTCACAAAAAACCTAGTAAAAATGTGCTTCTTGGAAAATTATGTAGAGATAAGTTTTTATTTAGTTTTTTCTTCTGATTGCCGTCATCTATTCATGCTATTCCAAACTTCTTATATTCCATAACTTAAAAAGCCACAATCTTATCATATTCAATTAGCTAAAAGCAAAGAAATCAAAGTTGCAGAACAGTACTAAAGCATTGCTATTTTGCTGAGCCTATACTAAGAGAAAACAAAGTGCGAAATTGAAATAGAAATTGATCAAAACCTGAGAAAGTTCGAGGAATGAAGAACCAGGGTCAAGCAAGCGATCAATGCGTTCTCTTGGCAGGAGTTTGTTTCTGCTCCGATTTCTCTTCACAGCTTCTGGTCCTCCTCCGGCGAGAATCTTTCCACAAATACACAAAAGTAACCATTTAAACCGAAATCAAAGCATATATAAACAGCAATAAAGAGAAAGAAGAAGAAGAGAGACTTTGTCGATATGGGATTGAAGATCGGATAATAACGCGCCCATGGCGGTAGAATTGCCAGAGAACGCCTCGGAGCTCCGATCAACGCCATCGGGGAGGACTCCGATGGAATATTCATTTCTCTGAACAATTTGAGCTCGATTCGCTGCCATTAACGATGACCTCCATGAGCTTGAAGATGAAGCTAATTTCTTCCCCACTATACGGAGCATTTTTGAATTTTCGGAGTTTCTTCCTTAGTCTCAACTCAGACGCAGAGCTCAGCCCCAATTATATATATATATATATATATATATTTGTATATATATGTGATCTTGCTAGCTGACCTTCACCTTCCTTAGTTCTTGCGTGGAGTTCCTATCCGATTCTTCGACATTGCGATGATTAGTATCCCGATGAAGAATTGATATTCACTGTGAAATGACCAGATTATCCTTATAAAAAAAAAAAGAAACGAAAAAGATATTTATTACTGTCAGTCGGATAAGAGCTCCATTTGGAGAATCTGAAGAGCAGCGTCAAAAATGGCGTCTCTGTCCTCCGTTCTCTCCTTCACCGCCGCCAAATTCCGTTATCCGCAGAAGAACTCTTCTATGTCTTCTCCCTTGGGAACGAGCGTTCCTTCTTTCTCTATACCTCTAATGGCATCCGGACAACAAAGAACAGCGACTCCGAAACGCTCCACTAAAGCCACGAAAACGCTTTCCACAACGCCATCACCAACAACCCTAACTTCTACTCCTCCCGCCATGGATACAAGCAACGCCACTCCTCTTCCTCCCAAGAAGGTCTTTCCTATAATTTTCTGTTTGCTCCCTGAGAAAATTTTGCTTGAAAATCGCTAGCGTAGCTAAGTTCACTGAAGTTTATGATCCACCAGCTGCAAAAAAAAAAAAAAAAAAAAAAAAAAAAAAATTTGAAAAAGCTTTTTGGCTCTTTGTGACGGTTTTGGGAAAAAAAAAAAAAAAAAAAAAAAAAAAACTTTGAAATGACTATTGGTCTCTATGTGCAGGTTCTGGTACCGATAGGGTTTGGCACCGAAGAAATGGAAGCTGTAATCATCGTCGACGTTCTTCGCCGAGCTGGCGCGGAGGTTACGGTGGCCTCGGTGGAGCCGCAGCTTGAGATTGAAGCTTCAGGCGGTACTAAGTTGGTAGCCGATACCTCCATTGCGGCCTGTTCCAATCAAATTTTCGACCTTGTGGCTTTGCCAGTAAGTAATTTTCGGCCATGTTTATAATATTTTTGTTTCTTTGAAGTTGGTATTGAAAGAGAAATGGCTTGTGCTTAGGCTACGCTAATGATCTAGTCGGCAATTAGTATCACAACGCTATGGTAAATTGCTTAAATTAAAATTTTAAAACATAAAAAACCCTCGAAATTTAGTAATTTTAATTTCTCCAATTAAACAACTGTCCTAATAAATAATAAATATAAAGATTTAACAATTCCTCAAAACACAGAGTTCTTTGTCCCATAACACGTCCATTATATTTCTAAAAATGTATAGCTCTGATACTAAATTATAACGCCCCTATCTTAGAATCTCTTATTCTTCAAGAATTCAACCATTCTCATATCTCAATTCAAAATAAACACAAGATTTCACGTCATAATCAAAAAATACTTTTAAAATCTCATGAGAACCGATCAACAATAATAAACAGAAATCTTTTATTAAAAACATACTACTATTTAAATGATGCAATGGAAGATCTATTTACCTCAAATTGCTTAAGAAAATAAATAAATCTATCTCTATGGCGTTTACCATTGAATATTGATGTTTAGCTTCAAAACAACGGTATAATCCATGTATTCTAGACTAGGGACTTGCTAAAATTATATGATTAAACTGTGGTTTTAGTTAGCTCAAGTGGTTAGGTGCGTGAGTGAGTTATGCGTGTATCCTCCAAAATTTGAATTCTAGTGGTTTCATTTCTTATTAGAAAGTAGGAGCCATGGGTCTCAGTCTCACACTGTACTGTGCATTGTTTTGTACGAGCAGTAATAGTCTAAGAAAGGACAACTGCTATTGAATTACCTTTTGAGAATGTCCCATTAACTTCTCTCTAGAACCCATAGGGCTAATAGACTGAATTAGTCTTAGGGTACTTTAGCTATTCCGATTAAAAAAAAAAAAAAAAAAAAATCTGCGTTTTGGCATTTTGGCATTGCAGTTGCACGAGATGTTTGCCTCTTCACCTCCTTGTAGATTAACATGTGAGGGAGTTTGAAGTTTGAACTAAGTTCTTTTTGTCTTTGTTCCAAATCTTATGTTGCGTTGATTATTTTCATGTTTATCATTTTAAGGGGGGAATGCCTGGCTCAGTGAGGTTAAGAGATTGTGAAATTCTTCAGAAAATTACAAGGAAACAGGCTGAGGAAAAGAGGTTGTATGGAGCAATATGTGCTGCTCCAGCAGTGACACTTTTACCGTGGGGCCTTACAAGGAAAAAGCAGGTACATAAACTTGGATTGGTTTTCGTTTATAATTTTGAGTGTGTCAATGTATTTGGCTATCTAATGGTGTAGTTTGGCATGCAAGACAACTTGCCACCCTGCATTCATGGACAAGCTTCCGACCTTCTGGGCAGTAAAATCAAATATACAAGTGTCTGGAGGGCTCACAACAAGTCGTGGTCCTGGAACTTCATTTGAGTTTGCCCTATGCCTAGTAGAGCAATTATATGGGGAGTCTGTTGCCAGCGAAGTTGGAGAGTTATTGGTAAGTCTTACTATGTATTTACTCTATGCTCTAGGTGGTGGATTTTTAGGATTAAGATATTAACTTGAAATGGACCTTCCTATATAATAGAGAAAGAGAAGGGACATCGTGTTTCAAGTCTGATATCACCAAAAAAACAAGCTATAAGGCTCAATGTGATTAGCAGCTTAGGTTTAGTGACTAAGAATTGTTTTGTCTAAAAAATAATGAAAATTGTTTCGGCATCCCATTTGCCAGGTCTTTTTTTTTTCCCACCGTATTCGTTTGTCAGTTGTTGTGTGCTTGATAGATGTGGGCTAATACTCTTTGGCTCTTTTGGTTTTAGATGGTCTGCACTGCGGAAAATGAATCAAGAAAGGAAGAATTTAACGCAGTTGAGTGGTCTGTTGACCACAGCCCTCGTGTAAGTTGCTCTTTTTTTTTTTTTTGGGATTCAGAATTTTCGTTCCTGCTCTGTGTTTTTCTCGTTCGTGTTTCTCACCAGTTGAAGTTACTCTTTTTCATATCTTGATGTGTTAAATACTCACTAGAGAACTCTTGATGTAGCAAATTTCATTTATGGGTATTTAGTCAAGGGTACAAGGTACCCTTAGAGAGCATAGAATTGTTAGTCTTAAAAAGGCTTGGTTTCAGAAATTCAGAGAAATAAAACGCCCTTTACTGTGACATCCTGTTCTAGCTATATCTTTGATATGATGCCATGAGTCTTTATCAACTAGACCAGCTACATAGGTTAATCTGATTATCATATGTAGCAGCCTTTCCTTTTCTTCTTAATACTTTTCTCTTTTAAGACGAGTTTCATCATCGTTAAAATGTTAGACAGGTTCTTATTCCGATTGCTAATGGTTCTGAAGAGATTGAAGTTGTAACTATTGCTGATATTCTAAGACGAGCAAAGGTGGATGTTGTAGTTGCTTCAGTTGAGAAATCTGCGAAGATTTTGGCATCTCGAGGAACCAGAATAATTGCTGACAAGTTAATACGCGATGCTGCTGAGTCAATATATGATCTAATCATTCTTCCGGTGAGACGAACCAAACTTTTGCTTACATGCTTTCTTAAATGAAAATCAAGACCACAAGTTTTCAGTGGCACCATTTACTATTTCTTCATTGTGCTTTAAGCTTCCCAATTGCCCACGTTCACAGCACGTGGTAAATTCTGAAGGGTTTATGTTTGCTCATTTTCTCAGTAACATCATTCCGTTCACATGTAATAAACTGTTTCAAGACTTTTTTGCACTGCCATACATTCTTCAAGATTCTCGTACATTGTCACATTTCAGGGAGGAAATGCTGGGGCTGAGCGGCTTAACAAGTCGAGGATTCTAAAGAAACTGCTCAAAGAACAGAAACTGGCTGGAAGAATATATGGAGCAGTCCGTTCCTCACCAGAAGTCCTGCACAGACAGGGTTTATTGAAGGTGACGTGTAATAAACCGATTTCTTATCGCTTCTAATACCTATATGTTAGTCCTTATACTTCACTTGCCCAAATACAGGATAAGAAAGCCACTGCCCATCCATCCGTGGTGAGCACACTCACCGATGAAATAGTGAACGGCACCAAAGTCGTTATCGATGGTAAACTGATAACGGGCAGGGGACTTGCTACAGTGACGGAGTTTGCATTGGCTATTATAAGCAAACTTTTTGGTCATGCAAGGGCAAGAAGTGTTGCAGAGGGCCTTGTCTACCAGTACCCCAGGAGTTAAAACTGATATGGTGCCGAGTCCTATAAATGGATGACGATTTTCCATGTTTCCTACCCTATAGCAAGTAGATTCTGCACCAACTTGTATCGGAAGGAGAAAGCCGTCATACTGTTGGGAAATCAATTCAAAGGGAGTGCTAAATGTGGAGGTGTTTTTTTCCAACGTTGAAAGGTTCATTGAAACACGGTCTCTCCAAAAAAGGCAAGAGCTGTGTCCTGTGGAGCACTCTGTAAATGCTGTTTTTTGGTACTGCATGCTTCCTAGTTGAGTCACAGTTAAAACATAATCAGTATTATCGTTTCTTTGATGCCTTTTCTCCACACAAGGACAAGCCAAAAAAAAAAAAAAAAGGGGGGTCTTCATTGTCTTATTTGTGGACAAGGTTAAATTATTATGTCAAGAAGAAATGAATGTGCCGTGCAAAACATTGTCATAGTCAATAGATTGTTTTTCCCTTTTCCCTGCCAACAGAAAGGAAAAGTCCTTTTACTTTAGTCGATGGATTATTCAATATTTGGGTTAGTGGCACTGATTTGATCATGAACTAAAGTTCAGTTTTGGCAGGTTAGTTCTTTAACTTTTGATTTTTGGTAGTGTTTGATCTTGTAATCACATTTTTATTGCGTAATAACTAGAAATTTTACATAAACAGTTATAATAAGTTCAAAATATCATAGTTTTCTATAAGTTTTGACAGTAACAAAGAGAAACGCAACTTTTTATGTAAAATTTTATGCTATCACGTGATGGACACAACATTATTGTTGTTAAATTTAAAAATCATTTGTTAATTTTATTGTTAGGGATTTTCCTTCTTTTTGTTGATTTTTATAAGTCTCGTATTTACAAATAGGTTTATGCAAGTTACGCATCTCTTCCGGACTGATATTAAAAAAATTCCGTCGCCGGGACTCGAACCCGGGTCTCTCGGGTGAGAGCCGAGTATCCTAACCAACTAGACTACGACGGATTGATGTTGCAGGGGTTTTAATTAATAATTATATAAGAAAGCATAATTGGTTTCGCGGCCAAGGACCTTTACAACCATAATGGCAATGACCTCTGCACGTATAAATTGATGTCATTCTGATAAGAACCCGACGCTGCTGGTCTATAGTAGGAGGAAGAAACGCCAGTAATTAGTGCTGACGTGGATATAGTTTGTTGAAGAGTCTTGTTGAGGAAGTTTTAGGATATTTGAATGGGTTTATTGTTAGTAAGGGAGCCTATAAATAAGAGAGGGAGGCTGAGAAGTTAGGGGGAGAGAATTCTGTAGAAATTGAGTTGTGTAGGAGAGTGGGTGATCTCTTGAAAATCACCATTGTTGTAGGGGTATGGATTGCAATTGAATGAAATTCATGTTCTTTTGATTCTGTTCTCGTTGATTAGTAGAGGTTTCCCTCACATTCTTACGAGAGGATGTAAAATTGAGCGTATGTGACTAAATACAAAAACTTCTTTGTTTCCGATTTTTGCATTTGTTAAGGCCTTGATACAAGTTTAGGGAGATCCTTGCTTATTTCACTTGTCTTTTGAAGGGATTGTCATTTCAATTAAACCCGAGATTCTGGAAAAGCATATTGATGTTTTTCTTGAGGCCCTGAAGCATAAAGTCATAAATAGTTTATTGAATATGTTCTGAAATAAACCTATATCAAGGCTTTACCATTACAGGTTTCCAATTGTGTTCAATGCCGTTCACAAATGTCCATGATTCGTTTGTAGAGTTGGGAATTTATACATATAAATATATACATATATATATGTATGTATATGTAAAGGGATTAACCACCAAAATTAAGATGTACAAACCAGATGATGCACTTTAGAGATGTCATAATTAAATTTTAATCAAACGAAAGTCAACCAAAAGTTCACACGATTCAAGAGTTTAATCTACAAGACAAAACCTGCATTAGACAATAAATTACAAGTAGTACACTGGTCCTACACACTAACCTGCCTACCTACAGTTTTGGTACAAGACTGAATTGATATCACTGATGAGACACTCAAATTCCTATACCATACTTTGGTATTTTCCCTAGTCCAAGCACACATTTTGACTTATTTGCAATCCAAATCATCAATTTTACCAAGGACCTGTGAGCGTCCTCCTCAAGCATTGCCTTTTATTTCCCCAGTGTCTATTCATTTTCTCCAAAAGCTGCCAAAACAAATACGAAGGGGTAATCAGCCTCGCAAGTGAGAAATTTATATATGAGAAATGCTAACATTACTTTTTCTCTCTCTATCTCTCTCTATACTCACTGTTTGACACATAGACTCCACTATCACATTTTCTGTTTAAATAATAATATATCATGTTGGTTGAATCTATATATATACGCCTAGTATGTATGTATATATAGAGAGAGAATGTTAATTTTTAATTTTCCAGCTCAAAGTCCTAGCTAACTAAACTTCCTGTTTGGTTAACACATTGTTATGGCCCTTGGTCAAATGATACTATGATTGTCTTCATGCATAGCTCATCTTGAGCTTCTTATTTTGCAATACAGTAATGGATGACTACTGCTTATTTGTGGCCAGGATATATAAGTCGTTATCAATTGATGCAATCAAACTTCATTTGACGTATTCATTTACCCACTTTGGCTTTTGACCAAATGTTGGCCAGAAACAATACAGGAGGAGAAATATTGGGAAAATAGACAAAACAAGGCATGCTATATACATATATATTTTTTAAAAGGGGTATATTTTTAATATCAGCTTCCAGTATGTTCGAGGTTGACATTTCAGGGTACTATTTCCACCAGCTTAAGATTTTGGTCAATTGATAATTCAACATCAATAAAGATATAATTTCCTAATACGCAGAATGCTGCCAGTTGTCTCTATACATGCAATTGCAGACAGCTAACAAATAACAAATGAAACATCTCACTAATTTTCGTTTACTAATGAAAAAAGAATTGTTGGTGTCATCTTGTCCTCGTTCCCATTGTTAAGAAATTTAAAAACACATCTATCAAACGGTCTCAATTTCACTCACACCACTATGGAGCCGATGCCCCACAACTCATTGGCGGGTAGGACCTCAGAGTGGGACTATCGAGTACTGAATTTGGATGCATCCTAAAAGGAGAAGAAAAGACATTCTTACACTCACACCACGCAATTGATTGTTGGTGAAACGTGACTAAGGAAATCTGGTCCAAAAAGAAACATGAGAAGAAAAACGACAAATTTACTACACATACAACGCTATGTGGCGTGAGACTTTCAATAATGATACTTGTTTTAGCTATGCTATGATATATTTTGAAAGAGACACCAAGCAGGTAGTGGGGTGTGAAAAGTTCCGTATATGCTTCTTTTGTTAATGCTCTAGATAATATTAAAATTGTTTCAAGACAAATATCAAAGTAATATGTACCTCATTTTTCTGCATTTCAATGAATTCTGCCTGCATCAACCAAGATAAAATCAAATAAGGTTTGTCAAAGAATACAGATCAATAAAGAAGAAAGAACTTGATCTGAAAAAAATATAAACCTGTTTTCTCTGAAGTTCTTCGTTCATTTCTTTAAGTTTGGCAACTTCTGCTTCTAGTTCCAATGTATATGCCTGCCAAAAAAACCCCAAAAAGAATATTTCTTAGTTTCAACCTTTTATCCAGACATAAATTTAAAATGCCAAGCAGATTTGACAATAATAGAATTAAAGCTGTTTCCAGGACTTCACAAAAGTTTATTTATTTTGAAAAAACTGAAATATATCATATCTTAACCTATCAAAAACTTCCTGTTCAAATTATGAAAAGTTCTCATTTCTACTAGCAATAATAGCAAGATATGTTCAATATCATGACAGAATGCATTGGAAAGCTGCAGCTTGAATCTGGATTTATGCACAAACTGCCGCCATCCAAATATCCAAAGCATATATACATCTTAAACGATTTAATGTTTAGCAAACTCCAAAAAAAAAAAAAAAAAAAAAAAAAAAAAACACAAAAAGATTAAACGGAACCAAGATCATGTAAGCCACTCCCAGAAAGCACCAATATGATCAACACAATCACAACTATATTTCCACAGCTAACATAATGTTTAAGCACAATCAACTGTAGTTTACCTGTTTACGAGCGCGGGACCTTGCAGCCGATTCTCGGTTCTTGATCATTCTCCTCTGCCTTCTTTCAATAACTTTCTCTAAAGCTGCACTGCACTTCCCTCTCCGGCTGAACATGTAAGGAATTGGTGACACTGAAGTAGGTGTCTCTACACTAGCCTTTGAAATAACATCAGATGACATGTGACTTGCAGGAGATGCTGCCGCAACTGTAACGCCGCCAGCACCTATATTAGCCATGCCAACTCCACCACCCGGTAGACCCCTACCTCGAACTAAGGCAGCATTGACAGCAGGTTCTGCAATTCCCACTGTTGTTTGATTCGTTTCCCGAGTTCCCGCACTCATAAGCTGAGCATTGCTCACTAAATGCATAGGCTGGACAAAGGCCAAAGTGGCTGCAGGTTTGGGAAAGAGCGGCTCCTTCTGGGGCTTTTGCTGTGCTTGTTGCTGAGATGATCTCACTCCGCCGATACTCAGTGGTAAACTCGAAGGCAGATTGAGAGGTGAATTATTCATCGCCATCACCCGATTGTCGAAAATTCCATTGTTTTGATTTGGCTGTTGAAATCCAAACGCTAAATTATTAGCATTATTGTTGTTTGCAGTGCTAGCAGGCCTTCCAGTTTGTTGAGCTTGAGCATCTTCTCTCACTATCCCTGCTCTGACCAAAAACTCCTCCAAAGTCATCTCCCCCAAAGTTTGTTGCCTCTGAGGCACATTTGATCCTCCACCAACATTACTACCTTCTTTATCCCCATCACTTTCTTTGACCAAATCTCTCCACACCTCATCAACCGTCTTCTGACTTAGCGTTCTCGGCAAGGTTATCGAACCTTGTCTCTGCAAGTTCCCATTAAGAGCACCACTACCTCCTGACCCTCCAACGCTAGAAGCCATGATTTGAGTGTCTTCAGCACTCCATATGCTCTTCAAGAGCTCATCCATGTTCATCGATCCAAAATCTTTTCCCATGGAGTTTTGGAACTCATCAAAGGTCAATGAGTATATGGAAGGCTGTCTAGCCAAACTGTAACTATTCCCTGCTGGCTTTAACCCACCACACCCAATATCCCCTAATGGTGGTGTTGCATCTCCAAAGTTCTTAAAGTTCATATTTGACCCCATTTTTTCCCCCCCTTGAAAACTCTTCAAGCAATAACAACAACCAAGCTCTGAAGAGATTCTCTTATATATCCATCCAATTGTGAGTATCCCCCAGTACACTTTTCACTTTTCTTTTGTCTTGGTCTCTTTAGAACGCATCAAAAAGTCCACAAACATAAAGAAGATGATGGGTCAGTGAAAGAACTAAAAACTCAAGATTCTATACATGATATGAACCCAATAAGATCATAACACATGTACTGCAAAATTATGGACAAAAAACAACATCTTTCACTTCATCTACTCCCATTTTACTTTTATCAAAACCTTAAGTAGTGCACAGCATTATGCACAACCCCACTTAGAAAAGTAGACTAGAAACAAATGGATAAGGAAGAAGAAATCTTAGAGAGAAAACAAACGAACTGCAACAATACTTTTATTTTATTTTTATTTTTTGGAGAAGGGCCATTATTCACAGAAGATCCAATTTTCTTAAGTAGTACAAACGTGAAAAAAATTATCAGAACCAAACAAATTGTCCCTCAGAGCAATCCAATCTTCCAATAAAGGTAGATCCATCTGTCAAACCCAATTCCACTGTTGTCATGTGTATGATAACAATAATAACAATAATAATTTTCACTGCTAAAGATCCAAACAATTCACCAAGTCAAAGAACTATTAAACAACTAGCAAGAACTCCTAATTAAGCTCTTCAGCTTCATTAATCAGCTCTTAGACTTCATATCCTTGTTTATAAATGTAAAAAAAATAAATACAAAAAAAAAAAGAGAATTTTTCATTTTCAAATTTTATTACAAGAAAAAAGGGGACAAATACGACTTAAAAAAAGAAGAACGCGGGCAAAATTAGTGCATTATCGAAAATAATGTAATAAAAAAACAAGAGAAACAAGAAAGGTATGAATAGCTACACAGTAACAACTAATAAGAGGGAACACAAAAAAAAAAAAAAAAAAAAAAAGCTTACCTGTTTTTTTTTTTTTTTTTGTTTGGTTTCTTGGAGAGTGGAAAATTGGGAGTTTTTCTGTAAGTTGGAGTTGCGAGAGGTGGAGGAGGCGACAAGTGTCTTGTGCGGCCTCGATAGACACGAGTCGCCATTTAAGGAGTCCTGAGAAGCTTCACAGTTTTTCTTTTTTTTTTTTGGAATATGGGAATTTCCCACTTTGTTTATGCGCTTCGGGACAAGAGCCTTCAGATCAATCCAGAAGTCGCAACGTGGACCAATTGGATTTCAGCTCAAATTTGATGTGATCTTTGTCCAATGGGAGACCGCTAGGTGGAATCATGCTGGCCGTTGGATCTCGCTTTCCCGACATCATATTTGGACGGGGATCTTTCTGCTTCTTGTTGAGAATAATGACGTGGTCACGATGTGGGGAAGATACTCCCCGTTCATTTCGATGATTTGAGTTTAGAATTTGAGTTTTATTACAGTAAAAAGCTCTCACAAATAATCATATTTAACTTTTTTGCTACAGTAAAAAGCTCTCACATACAATCACATCTCAACTCAAATTCTAAACTCGAATCAACGAACTAAACGGCCTCCTCTCTCTCTCTTATTTTGAAGGATGTTTATGTTGTTCACGCTAATGACCCAGAGCACGTTCTTTAATCTAACTTAAATTACAATTTATATTTTTTATTACAGTATTTTTTCATAAAATTTTAAATTTAATTTTTTTATTACAATATTTTTTCTCATATATTAAATTTAAATTCATAATTTAAATTTGAGAAAAGAACATACCCTAAATTACCAATCTTTTAAGTGGTTAATTAATCATAAATTTCAAAACTAAAGAGTCATGAATCTTAGGGTGCATTTAGAATTATTTTTGAAAATATTTTTACACATCTTTTAAGACACAAAAATAAAAACGGTTTACAAATCGCGTTTATTTAATAAAAGTTTAAAAAATGAAAATAAAAATAAAAAATAATAATGAAAATGATTTTACTGAAGAAAGTAGAAAATGACTTAAAGTTATTTTCCCTTTCCGTTTTAATTTTCTAGTACTTACCAAAAAAGTTATATTAAATTATTAATTATTAATTATATTATA